AATACCTTTCCAATTCAGTAGCTTGAAAACATCTTCCAATACAGCGGTGAAGAGTATGGGTGATATAACGTCAACCTGTCTTACACCTCTCTGCAGTTGAATATGATTCGTAATGACTCGAAAACAGCACTTAGACGCGGCTCAGAAGGGAAATATGTCTGTAGTTCTTCAAGAGAGCGTAATCGCTTTTCTTGAAAAATAAGACCACTGCACTTCTGCACCAAGCCTCCGGAGTAGTGCCACCGTAAAGGACGAAATTGAAGAGATTCTGAAGGACTTTAAGTACCGGTTTTCCGCCTGCTTTCAAAAACTCCGCTGTAATTCCATCTTCACCTAGGGCCTTGCCGTTTTTAACATGATAGAGAGCCTTCTTTTCTTGCTCAGACTATTTTCCGGGATATCATAGTGTCGGAATAGACTTGCTCTTGGATCGTTACTCACACTTGCGTGTGGCTCCAACGATAATGTGTTCAGCTGCTCATAGAACCTCTCAATCTCACTCAAAATCTCAGGTGTCCCAGAAACGATGCTGCCACACTCATTCTTCAGCTTTGACAAGTGGCTCTCTCTGGCAGACAGATCTCTGGCAAAGACTTTGGAGCCCTGGTTCCGTTCGATCGCTTCTTCAATACGAGCAGTATTAAATTTGCGTAAGTCCTAGCGCATGCATTTGGAGATCTGTCTGTTCAGTTGCCTGTATGCTGTCAAATCTGTTGAAGACTGCAGCTTCATTTTCCGTCTAACAGCCATGAGATTAAAAGTGTGATCGGAGAGTTTTTGTGTTCTTCTGAAGCGAGTCTTGCAAAACTTAGCTCCGACTGCATGGACAGTTTCCACTAGCTTATCATTCATATCGTCCACTACATTGCAGTCTTTTAGGCACTGAAAACGGTTTTGTGACTCGAGCTGAAAGGTTTCGGGACTTTCGATGGCACGAGGGGGACGGAGCGTTGTCTTCTTTAGACGAGACCTCTCCAACATAACGTTTAGGTTCAGTGTGCCTTGTTTTCACCCTTGCGATCACTGAGACATCACTGGACAGTTGCCGTCTCGTCGTCATAATGAAGTCAATCTCATTTTTTATCGTACCGTCGGGGCTCGACCAGGTCCACTTTCTGTGGAGCCCCTTCTGAAAAGAGTTCATCATAAACAGTCCCTCTTTCTCCATGAAGTCAGCCAGCTGCTGGCCCCTTGTGTTCCGTTGCCCTATCCCAAATTTACCTACCGTCAGCTCACCTTTCTTCCTTTTGCCTAGTTTTGCGTTGAAGTCTCCCATTAACACCGTATAGTGGGTTTTATAAGAATGCATGACTCTAGAAATATCATAGAGAATATCTAGAAATGTATTAGATGTTGGTGCGTAGACCTGTATGACCTTAGATACCGTTTGGTGATTCTGAATATGAGGTACGCAACCGTCGTCTACACACTACCAATCTTTACAACGCTGTTAACGAGAGACTTGTGGACGATAAATCCAACACTTCATTGGGACATATGGTCGCCCTCCCTAACTTGTGATATAACAAGTTGCCGGATTCGAGAATCACCTTGTCCTCCCCCTCTCTTCAGACCTCGGATGATCCTATAATATTCAAGCGCAACTTGTTTATCTCTTCTTCCAGCTCCAGGATCTTCTTGGTAGTCCCCAGAGTGCGTCCGTTGTTTGTTGCCAAGTTGAATCGTCTTAGGCGGCAAGCAACCAACCATCCACCGGAGATTCTTAGCACCCCTTATCCCGCCTTTACCACGGTCGTCACCTAGCCAGGAATAGCGCGGCCGCCGTGGGACTGGGGGCCGTTTACTTGTGTCATTGCTCATGGGGGGTATTTCCATAGTTGCCACGCTTTACGAGTAGGTTGTCAACTGCAGTTTTTTTTGTTGTACAATCGATGTTATCAGGAAGATGCTGCTGCTCGTCTCCTGCCGCTTTCCCTGTGTTGCCTTTTACGACACCCACGGGGACTATTAACCGCCACTACACGGCAGTAATTTTTAGATTACTTATGAAAAAGGGATGCAAAATATAAAAACTTGTATGCGAGCCCGTGTGTACTCAAAAATATTAGTATTCCTACATCCCTTGGAAGGGAAGCACTTTAAAGATGTTCCTTTAACTGATTCTGAAGAGCTAGGTTAAGTAAGAATTGGTACCCACATGTTAAACATAATATTACGTTTTTAATTAAATACTTGACTGATAATAAATAACAATACAAATATGATAAAGATGTTTAATTTTTCCGAACATGAAATACAGTAACATATGAAATCCAAATCGAATGAAAGTCTCATAACGTTAAGCAAGGTCCGAGACACAATACATATAAATAAGCCTAAAATACTCATTTTTTTCGGTACCGAAATTATTTCGGTAAAGGTATTAGTAAAATAAAGGTATATCGATACTGTAAAAAAATATAGGTATAATTCTTTTTTTAACGGTACCACAACCGTAATTCTCAACCGTTTTGGTTCTACCTTTAAATCGAAGTTGTATCGTAATTCTATACCGGTACCATACCCTTATACCTTTACCGCTTTCAACCCCTGCTCACAAGAGTATCGGTAGTGCGGGGTCTTTGACAATCCTCTTACTCCTCGGCCAATGCAGAGATAATAAAACCACATACAATTTGCAAATCAATTTTTTTCATTAAAATTAATTTTATTAAATGTTTTTTTTTTGAAAAAAAAATATTTCTATATGCTTGGATAGTGATTCGGATAACGCACTTAACGGGAACCACAAGGTTTTTGTTACATGTTGTATAGTAAGTTCGTATAAAGGTTCTACTTATTTCATAAAGGAAAATATATTAAAAAAACCGGCCAAGAGCGTGTCGGGCCACGCTCAGTGTAGGGTTCCGTAGTTTCCCGTCCGTCACAATAAGTGTTCCCACTTACGAGTTTAAAGGTGGGTATCCATTTCCGCTCCTGCAACTGCTCCCGTTAGTAGGTACTGTTGTTTCCATCCAAGTTCAAAATGATTTTCCTAGAAAGTCCTTATAAAGTTCTACTTTTCAGATTTTTTTCATATTTTCTAAACTTATGGTTCAAAAGTTAGAGGGGGGGGACACATTGTTTTTTACTTTTGGAGCGATTATTTCCGAAATTATTGACATTATCAAAAAATGATTTTAGTAAACCCCTATTCATTTTTAAATACTTTTCCAGTAATATATCACACGTTAGGGTTAAAATTAAAAAAAAATCACTTCCCACTTTACATATAGGGGGGCTTCCCTAATGAAACATTTTTTTCCAATTTTTATTTTACCACTTTGTCGGCGTGATTGATACACATATTGTTACCAAATTTCAGCTTTCTAATGCTAACGGTCACAGAGATTAAGCGAGGACGGACAGACTGACAGACAGACATGGCGAAACTATAAGGGTTCCTAGTTGACTACGGAACCCTAAAAAGGCAAAATTAGTACCTATTTTACTAACTATTAATACTACTGAATAAATAAATGTTATAATGACATAATATATATAAACTGGTACTAATATAATACAATCATCATTTCATCATCAATACAGCTCTTCACAAGTCTACTGCTGAACATGGGCCTTCCCCAAACAATGCCATAAAGCATGATCCTAAGTCACCTGCATTCATCGATTATGTGCATATTTTAGCAGGTCGTTACTCCATCTGGTGGGGGGCCATCCCACACTTTGCCTACTGTTACGAGGCTGTCACGTACGCCTGTCACCTTGCTTTCCCATCGGTTATCGGTTCTTCGAGCTATATGGCAGGCCCATTATTACTTCAGCTTATTGGTTCATTGGGGCAATGTTGGTTACTCTGGTGCTAATTCGGATATCTTCATTTCTAAGTTTATTATGCAGAGGAACCTTGAGCATAGCTGCTTGCTAAGTGACCTTGACCTTCCTCATACAACCAGCAGTGTAAGATCACGTCCGAATAATATAATAATATACATTAATTAACAAGATGCAAATAAAATATCTCTTATGATTTTTAAATGTCAATAAAGTTTCAAAATTCTTTATATTAGACAATAGCGAGTTCCATAACTTTTTCTAAAGAGAAGCAACAATAATGGGCTCCATTTTTTATAGGATACGGTGATAAACGAGCACACAGTCCACCTGATGGTAAGTGGTTGCTGCAGCCCAAAGACATCTACATTTATCCTCGATTACAAATCAAAATGCAGATGCATTGTCACCCATGAGGACTAAGATGGAATGCCTTGTTTCCAGTAAAAAGGGTCTCCGGTTCTCTACACTCACCATACAAAACAGAGCAGCATTAAGCTACTATTTTAGGCTGGTATTCTGTGAGAGTGTGGTCCTTCCCTGGTCAAGCCAACTCATTCGTGCTACAACTATACTACTAATATAACTGCAACATGGCTCTACCACGTATGAAAACGGTCCGTCGTTACGTTTAATCTGAAAGGATATCGTGACGATAGATTGGTCAAAGCTTACCGCTTACACACAAAACAATTGTTTGTTGCGAACAATCGTTTACTTGTTAGAAACGGAACGACAAAGATGTACTATCACAGACAGAAATCCGAATAATTAATACGCGCTATATTTTAAAATGGAAAATGAGCATCTGTTGTATGCCTATTTGGCGGTAAATTTAATCTAGCTACATGAAGAAAAAAAAAAAGAAAATGTAGAAAAGTGTGGGTTAAAAAGCGGCTATTAAAACGACATCAATATTAAATATTTTGAAGAAATTGAGGTTCCACCCAAAAGAATGGCACAATTAAATGAGTATGACGGAACCGATAAAAATATCTCGTCGATTGCTACGATCCATACACAGTCGATTTATTGTTACATCGATTTATCGTCAAGATTGCCTGAGTTTTTGTTGTGATCTCCGATATCGTCTGCGATCAAGTAAATCTCTAAAGATCGTAACATACACTACAGATCGGTTGTTTCGATCAGTCTGAACCAACGGATCGTACCGTATATGGGCCCTATAATAGTGAAGCACTTACTCTCGTCGTCGGCGTCAGGTGGCGGGTGCGGCTGGGGCGGCGCGCGCGGCGGGTCGAGGCGCGTGGTGTAGTGCGCGGGCGCCGTGCTGTCTACACGCAGCCGCCGCGGCGACCCGCGCCATGCCACGTCGAACCCGCCCTCACCGTCGCCGTCGCCATCCGAAACGCCTGCCCGACCTTCTGTGAACGTTACATTGTTGGTGTTACGATTCGCCATCACGACAGGCAAAGGTCTTACACCATACAGCCTCGCCTGATTTGTATTTTTTGTTCACAAAACTCTTCACAATACGCTGATGCGTCACATTGCGAAATTTTGGGAAATTTTGACAACTTAACATTAGATTTATATATATATATATATATTGTTACGAGCTTGAGGTTCGTGACAATAAAAACTGCCGATTGAATTACCAAAATTAACTCGTTAATTCACTTTACACTAGTTAAAACTTAGAACACTAATAATTAACCACACTGATTCACTTTATTTCGCTCCGAAGCTTCGCTTATCTCGCTAAATTCAATACTTCCCCGATCGCACCTTGCAGCGCCTATAAATACACATTAGCACCGAAACATCCAGAACATTCAAGTAAATACGCGCAAGGCGTCGAAAGTTCGAGTGCCGGCTTCTAGAAGCTTAGTTCTTCGTTTCGACACTAGATGGCGCTGTCGGTTGAAAGATTAGTGATGTCATTTTCTGGAAAGTTCTCCTCGCTCTCGTTGGCGACATGTACCCAACACTCAACTTAGGCGCGCAACAATATTTAAAACCAATATTAAATAACACCAACTGGAGCATTAACCCGCCAGTAATTAAGTTTACGCGAAAACTACACGAACATTTCAAATTTGAAATTTTATTTTTTATTATGCTATTGCCTACACTATCCAAAATATAGGTATGTTTACCTTCAAAATAATGTTACGATACTTTGTGAAGTTGACAGCAACTTACCTAATCTGAGTGTTAATAAAGATAGTGTCTCAAGGCGCCTATGCAGATAAGGTAACTTGAGGTTTATTCAAATTTGCATATATAGTAATCATATTGTATATAAAAAAAATGTAACATAACCAGACCATTAAAGAAAAGCAGAGCTAAAGTATGAGATGACACACAATGAATCCGCCTCTGCATGCCATTTATCATGGGAGAAGCTAATGTTTATCTCTATAACTATTTACTAAACAAACAATGTCAATTTAATATTTACATGAGACGCCAATATACATAGAGGACATAGGGTATGTTCCGAAATACAACGCAGTGTACTGTCCAATGCAAATGACGTCATGAATCGACGCTATACTGGTGATTCGTTCCAAAACATTGGACGGTATATGACGTCATACTTTTGCGCCATTTGGAAAAGTGTTGGCGATTATTTTGTCATTTTGTGCTCCAAAAATCATTATATCCTCCTAATGGATATACCATCAATTATTCTATAATTTTTTGTATTTGAATAAATAGAAACAAATTCTGGCATGCTTCATTCGGCAAACACACAATTAAAAATGATGGCCGGATATCCGACACAATATGGCGGCGGCACGCTAGTACAATAAAGTGTCAAATGATACGTCATTTGCATTGGACAGTACACTGCGTTGTATTTCGGAACATACCCATATACTGAGCTGTTTAAACTCGACTTTAAGTCACTATATAATCATTTTTTAATTAATGTCATTACACAAAAAGTACCCAAAGTTTTAGAAGTTAAAGAAAAAAGTTTGAAGTGACAGTGGCTTGTTTCGATTTGTTTGTTATTTTACTTATTAATTTCGAGTTACTCTTACTGAATTAGCTATCATAAGAGTATTGTCTATAAGGATTATATTAGCATAATATATTACATATATACTCAATTTTGACCTGTGTTTTGATGGAATACTTTTTGTGTAACAACATCCAATTTATGGATGTGGAACAAAGGAGACATAAACATACAACAATGAGCCATATAACAAGTTAGATCATTCAACAATCAATGCATATATGATACGATTCAACAATGTGATGCTTCTATAGCAGGAAGTGTCAAAGTGTTTAGTAAGATCAATACCAACAATTTGGTATACAAATAATTGTTCCAGGTCTAGGTTGGCCCATGTGCAATTTATATGCATGTAACACAACTTTTTAATAGCATTGAATGACAAACGAGCACACAGTCCACCTGATGGGCTCAGACTCCTGTGGCTCATATACATCCACATTTATTCTCAACTAAGGATCAAAATGCAAATGGCGTTATCACCCCTGAGGACTAAGATGGAATGCTTCTATTCCAAACCTCTACGATACTGACAAAGTTTCTGGTGTGAAGGTAGGTAACGCTTTTAGGGCTAGAAATAAGTAACAATTCCAGTTTGTTTGTTTGGTATTATGACTCCCTCTTTGAATAAATTTTTGATGACGAATAAACTTTCATGCCATTGTCATGCCATGCTGTTATAACTTATTTATCCCAATCATAATAGACGGCTCACTAGTGTTGTCTCCACTGAAAAGGTTTTCTTGAAAAACTGAAAACTGAGACTGACAGATATTAATTAAAAAGGCGCAGTTTTATTATAGGATAGGATAGGACTCTATCACCACTTAATGTCAGGGTGGGATTTTTTTCAAATTGGCCCATTAATGAAAAAATGATTGAACCACCGATGCTATTATACACTGCTACGGCACATGACACGGCACAGGGGCGAAGTAGAGTGGGGTTGGGGTCACAGACCGTGCGGGTTGAGGGGGCGGAGCTCCCGCGGGCGCTGCTCACCTGCGGCCGCGCCGGAGCCGCTCGCCCCAGCAGCGCCGCCTGCCGCAGCCCCGGGCGTCGCCATGCAGTACATCACCGTCGCTGCGGAGACAATTCGCTTTACACTACTTGATATCACATTATTCATCCACTAAAATGTTGACTATTTCGTATTGCAATTTAGAGTATTTTAATGTAAAACCGAATGTTGATACATTATATATTAATGTTAAGATTACATGACATATTTTTTAATACGAGGGTGGATTGAAAAGTACTCGGCCTAATCAAGAAAATAAACACATACTAAATCAGTTATATTTTTATTTTTCTACATAATCACCATCAAGTTCAATACACTTTTGCCACCTCCCCTTCCAAGCATTTAGACCGTTGAAAAAAAATGATTCTTCCTTAGAGTCAAAATATGCGTCTACAGCTGCTTTGACCTCGTCGTTTGTCGAAAATCTTTGACCTCCCAAGTGCTTTTTTAGGTTAGGGAACAGAAAGAAGTGCGATGGTACCAGATCAGGTGAATACGGCGGATGCGGTAACAGTTCAAAGCCACAGTTGTGAATTTCAGCCATTGACTGTACTGACGTGTGAACACGGGCGTTATCTTGATGAAACAGGACTTTTCTTCTGAGCATTCCTCGACGTTTTTCTTTTATTTCCTCTCGTAAACGACGTAATTAGGTTCAGTAGTAATCAGAGTTTATAGTCTGACCCCTTTCAAGATAATCAATCATAATCACACCTTTCGAGGCCCAGAATACTGAAGCCATCACCTTATTTGCCGACAAAATCGACTTAGCCTTTTTTAGGGGGTGGTGAACCAGGTCTTCTCCACTGTTTTGATTGTTGTTTTGTTTCCGGTGTACAGTAATGAACCCATGTTTCGTCCATAGTAACAAAACAATTCAATAAATCATCTGCATCGGCTTCAAATAACTCCAAACAGTAGCGTGAAATAGTAAATCGCGTCCTTTTTTGTTCAACTGAAAGCAGTCGCGGAACCCACCTAGCAGACACCTTGTGGAAACCCAACTCGTTGACAATGATGTTTTGAGTTCGTTCATAAGAGATGCCTATAATCTCGGCTATCTCTCTAATTTTTAATCTGCGGTCTCCCATTATTAAATCAAGTACTTTTTTAATATTTTCGTCAGTAGTTGACGTCGAAGGCCTTCCAGAGCGGGGTTCATCTTTCACACTCTCTTTACCACGCTTAAATTCTGCTATCCATTTTTTGACGGATGAATATGACAGAGCACAATCGCCTAATGTACTGACCATGTCATCATGGATGGCTTTTGATGATAGCCCCTTCTTATGGAGGTACTTAATGACGGCACGCTGCTCGATTTGCTCCATTCGCGGAAATTATGTCCGATTACTTTGTTAATAAATTTATAAAATCAAAACTAATTATCGCACACGTTTCGAACTTCACACAATGAACTAGTCTGAACTGAACTAAATAATGTGGGAAGATTTGATTTTTAGAATTGAATGGATCTGTGTTAGGCCGAGTACTTTTCAATCCACCCTCGTAACATATTATAATTAAATGTAAAAAGAAACATTGAACCGACGGCATTGACAACTCCAGTGAGTCAGTAATTCATTCTTGGGGCGATGTATACGCTTTTACAACAAAATCCCAGAGAATATACAAAATTTGTCGTCATACACAAAGTTCAAAAATGTTATTAAACTAAGTTTGTATAAAAAGGGTTACTATAATATTAAGGAATTTATGGATGATAATAACCCCTGAGAAGGGTGATCGCTACCAAGCTATTTCTAGTTTGTCAACACGATTTTAAGCTATTATTGAAAAAAAAAATAGTCCCGCTGGGTTTCTTGCTGGTTCTTCCCAGGACAGAGGTTTTTTTTTTGCGAACCAGTGGTAAATGAAAAAGTTACTTTCAATAAGTATTGTTATAATCTACATTGAATACAAAAGTTTCTGTTTCTGTTTCAACCCCTTTTTAAGTTTGCAAGCTTGCCAAGAGGCCCATGCCTAGTTGTGGCTTGTTTACAGACATGAGAATATAACAATAAATAAATAAATAAATAATATTCACTTACATGAATAAATGAGGGCTGGAAATATTGGCTCATTTCTTTCTTGAGCTGTTTCAACTAATATCCTTAATGGTCCTTTTGGAGTCAATACAGCTACTAAATCTAAAATAATGTAACAAGCAAATCAAACACTTAAATAAAAAATAACACAAGTTAAGTAATAACTTAATAATAATTTACTTAATACTTAATTTTATTTCTTACTTTACTAACAATAAAAATATTTATTTAAACTTTACTCCTCAGTAAAGCAACAATAACACTAAAATATAACTTAGCAATTTAGTAAATTTTTTTCTTTACCCCAGATAGAAATAACAGCAAGGACAGCCCATGTGGTCCACTCTGGAAGATATTTAATGAAAACTAGAGCCATTAATGCTGCTATGAAGATCAGGTATGCTTGTTGAAGTCTAAGTGGTCCCTTCCAGTGAATCACTATCATTCCCATTACACCAAAGTTCCACATAACAAAAAATAGAGTGATATAATCCATAGGTATATTATAGGCTCTTAGTGCTTCCCTGAAATATAAAAAATAGCTCATTACTCCTACAAGCCGTGATATTTCAAGGGAAAATCGCTTGTGAAATTTCAGATTTACCACATACTCATCATTCATCATCATCATTACAGCCCTTCACAAGTCTTCTGCTGAACACAGGCCTCCTCCAAGAAATGCCACAAAGCACGGTCCTGAGCCACCTGCATCCATCGACTTCCTGAATGTTTCACCAGGTCGTCACTTCATCTAGTGGGGGGCGCCCTACACTTCACCTGTCGGTACGAGGCTGCCACTTTTTTCCCCATCGGTTATCGGTTCTTTGAGCTTTATATGGCTTGGTCCATTGACACATCAGCATACTAGTTCGTTGGGCTATGTCGGTCACTCTGTTTCTACCTCCTCGTCGTAACTGAATATCACTCAAAATCTCAGGTGGTCCGGAAACAATGCTGCCACACTCGGTCTTCAGCTTTGACAATTGGCGTTTCCGGCAGACAGATCTCTGGCAAAGATTTCGGAACCCAGATTCCTTTCAATTGCTTCTTATACGAGCTGTATTTAAGTTGCGTAAGTCCCGCCACATGCATTTGGAGATCTGTCTGTTCAGTTGCCTGTATGTTGTCAAATCTGTTGACTACTGCAGTTTCATTTCCCTTAATAAGAGTGTGATCGGAGAGTATTTGTTCTTTCGCGGCGGGTCTTGCAGAAATTAGCTCCGATTATCATTCATATCGTCTACTGCATTGCATTTTCTAGGCGCTGAAAACGGTTTTGTAATTCAAGCTGAAAGATTTCGGGACTTTGGATTAGAGTACGAGGGGGACAGATTATTGACTTCATTGAGACTTGAGAGACTTCTCGAACTTAACATTCACCGTTAACCATTCGTTGATTGCAGCCAGTTTTCACCAAAACTCTTGCAATCATTGAGACATCACTGAACAGTTGCCATCTAGTCGTTTTGACCATTTTTCTAACGACGCCAACCAAAGCGCGTACAATATTCTAGTTTAAATACAGTCACATTAGTTGATAAGATATAAGTGTATTTAACTATAATCATAATATACTTACTCTATATACAAATATGAGAATAAGAACAGTAACATCAGCGATGAAAGTATGAGCCAACCATGGATAACCCTGTAACATCTCTTCTTATACAACACAATGAGCAGGACAGTCATTAAAGCTATCACACTGAGCAGGATCATAGAGTTAGCAAGAGCATTCCATACTTTTGTTACTGCATATGGACTCTCTTCATGGAATGGTGTATATGCACTGAAAAATTAGAAGTTGTTAATTAATGCAAACATATTAATATTCTACTTTACATTACATTTATGTGTGTGCGTGATAAAGCGCTTGCGTGTGTTTTTACATGGTAGAGCCATGCTGCAGCTATATTATGAGTATAGTTGTAGCATGTATGGGTTGATTCGATTGGGGAATTACCATGCTCTCACAGAATACCAACATAAAATAGCAGCTAAGCGCTGCGGTGTTTGATAAGGTGAGTGTAGAGAACTGAAGACCCTTATTGCTGAAAAAGAGGCATTTGATCTTAGTCCACAAGGGCAACAATGTATCTGCATTTTGATTTTTGATCGAGAATTGATGTAGATGTCTATAGGCCGCAGCAACCATTTGCTATCAGGTGGACTGTGTGCTCATTTATCACCCTTATCCTATAAAAAAAGTGGTATGTTATGTTGCAAATTCGCTAAAATTTCAAATTGGATAATGGCTGTGTGATGTTGTCACCCCAAAGTTTTAGATTTCTCTAATTATGTATATTTATTAACTTTTTCTTTAAATTACTTCTGTATCATCTTGAGCCTTGGTGAAGCCACACAAGTCTCAACTATTACTATGATAGAACTGAAACCTACAACAGTAAAGGAGGGACACAATAAATTTTAATGGAATATCGAAAATGTCATGCAGGGACTTCTTAATAGACTTCAACAAAAAGGAATACGGTCAGAGAAAGCAACACCAGTTATCTGAAATAAAAATTATATTTAATATTTTGTATAAAACCAAATAACAGACATTTTACAGTTTTTGAAAAATGTAAGAAAAGGGACTTAATGCCTATGGTGTAAATAAATTTGAAAATAACAGTCATTAAAGTATATCTATATTAACTAGTGGTTGCCCAAACAACAGGTCCAAATTGATTGTAATTCATTAAATTTAAAGTTTGTATAATTAAGTAGGCTATTTTTCAATTGCAACTTCATTTTAATATATAAAACAAGTTATCTAATATAAGTACAAGTAAAAAATAATATAGTGTAGTGAATGAACGCAAACGATGTATGTTTAATTTCTTTTAATTTAGAGTATAAGTCACATAAGAGTAAACTTGGACCTGATGACCAGATTGTCACCAATATAGTTGGTATAGTTGCTACTATTTTCTGCTAGCAATCTTATACAAACATTTAGTTAAATTTTTTTTCAGCTACGATTGTCTATTGTTAGATATATTATTTAGAAATTATAAGATGAATATATTAAAATTATTAAACCCAAAATTAATTTTAATAAATTACATTTTTATACATATACCATCTTTTACTACCAGCCGACTGTAAGATCTACCAGAACAGGGTATTCATAAACTACTACAACAATAATGTTACAGAGCTTATTGTAGCTTTCAAATTAAAGATTAAATTTAAATGTGAAATAAAAATGAAGCCAAATGACTTTTTTATCCAGTGGTTAGACAAGATGATTTTACAATCATTAGCACTAATATAAAACAACAAAAATGAACTATAAAGACATATATATACAATACAATATTAAGTAATAAGACATTCATATGGTTTATTATTGATTTTAATTATTTTTACCTGACCGCCACAGAAGGTTTTCTTCTTATGATGAAAAGTATGTGTCTATTTCTTTAGCACGCTTTGAAGCTTAACCCCTCAATCGTAATAAAAATACCATGCAATCGCATGCGCTCGGCAAACCCCGAGCGGTCGCATGCGACCGCACCCACCCACAGCACTTAAAATCATTAAAACTTATATTTAGAGACCACTTTTCTATAAAGAAGTTTGGCATTATAAAATTTATACAAAATTCTCTATCCTGTGGTCTAAACAAAAATCAGGTTTTACTTCATTACAAAAAGGTTTTATTGTATTTCGATAACAAAAAAATATACCAAGCAAATGTTGGCAGTGTGATAACCACAATTATTTCAATATATATTACTCGAAATTATTTACGTAAAAAGATAAATTATATTCACACAAAAACTTTCATTACAATTTTATAATAAAACACTAGAAAAATCTAAAAATCAACTCAATAACATTCACGCGCAAATAGCCTACGAAATGAACATAGATTATAAATAAAAATCCATAGGATAACTGACTTTTTACTGTACTAGAGGATAGAAAATTTCATATTGATTCTATAATGCCAAACTTCTTCATAGAAAAGTAGTCTCTATATATAAGTGTTTATGGGTTGAAATGCTGTGGGTGGGTGCGGTCTCACGAGACTGCTAGGGATTTGACGGAATATGGCCGCGGTCTCATGAGACTGCTAAGGGATTGAGAGGTTAAATTGCTTGATAGATTTTAACATATGAAGTATTTTTAGATTTGCCTTAATTGTGGAAGTGACAAAAGATATCAATTTTTTATGCAATCTTTTAGGCATAAAAATTTTTAGCAGTCAGGTGTTTTTTTAAGTACTATTTTAGTCTACATTAATTTTGTGTGGCTTACCTTAGGGAGACCTACATTCAGCAGTAAATAGCTATAGAGATAATGATAATGATGAATTTTCTAATAAAGTTTTTCTCCAATCCACAATTAGTAATCTATAGTATAGTTATTTGATTGATTGTACAATTGTCTAATTTTAGAAAAAAGCTATACTTACAGATAGACATCTTTGACCGAATAGAAGTTGATTGAGGAAATTGTAGCAACAACAACAAGCATACAGAGTGTCACCGGCACAAAGAGTTTGATAACATGACGAGCCCCATACTTAAGCTCAAGTTCCTCAACCTGCGATTCCACCTGCACTCCTGGGTTACTGGCACTAGGTGGGGAATCTCTGTTTTCTCCTGAACCATCCCCCTCCCGTTGCTCCACACTCTATAAAAGTGCAATCAATTTATTTTTATGGTAAAACTACATATTTTGAAATGATAATGAATATTGTGCATATAAAATCATGCTGTTTCATAATAACCAGCGATGTAACGATTCTGATACCGATATAATCGGCAAACCAATATATTGTAATATAAGTAACATTTATGCATAATAAAGAAAATTATTCATTATTTATTGTTTTTTTTTTTCTATTTCCAATCAGTCATCGATAAAGGTATTGGTATCACCAATTATTTACTACAATAATCGGTATCATATTGGCACAATTATGTATTGTTACATCCCTAATTATTACCATTACTACCTAAAAAACCCTATTGAACATAAACCTCCCTCACAGATTGCTTGCCACACTTAGCAGGCAGTAACTGCAGTTTTGTTTAATAATTTTGAATTACTGCTGCCCATTTCCTGTTTATGTTTCACTCTATCGTCTCATACTCACGGGCACTGGCACTTAACAGAATGGCATCCGGGAGCTTTTGGTAACAACTATGCAAACTACTAGTTCTTTAAGTTTTGTTACATAAATCAATATATAACCATAGTTACATATGGTAATTGCTTAAGCAGTAGACTACATGGTGCATCATTTAAAATATTTACAGAGGGACTGTCCACAAAATGCTAGGACAAACTACAATTTACTTATTTTAGTTTTATATCACAAATTGAAAAAAAAATAAGTTAGCTAATTAACAATAATGTAAAATTATGTTCAATTATTCAAATTATTTGTTAATTTAATGCAACTATACTGCTTTCGTGACCCTGTTGTTTGAGCAATATAAACTATTTTGATATAATGAACTTACAATGCATACATATTAATAAAGTTACTAGAAAATATATAATAACCTACAATTTTTTTATATTGGCTTGAGACAAGTATTATCCAGTTTACAGAAAAACATTCTTAGATGAGTAATGTAGAACTGATATTTCTAATAACTACAATAACATAGACATGACAAAAATGATAGTACTACTTCAATATAATATGTTGTAATAACCTAGTTGTATAAAAATAATGTTATTGATTTAGTTTCAGAATGTATAATTATTAAGAGCATTCATAAATACGATAGCGTTATATTGATAACTGCATATCAAAACCACAAATAGAGAAAAAACGTTCTCAAGTAGAAATTACTACCTACACCGTAATTTCGCTGGGTTTGGTCGGATTTGGTTTTTCTTTTTCTCGCTATCCATTCAGCTATCTCTCTATCCGGACGAGCTTCTGCTATATGGCCATCCATGAGTGCAGTATGCTCTGTTGCTGACGCCTCTGAATCACTACTGGAGTCACTCATTTAATGTGAAATTAAAGTCTTAGACATTATGCTTATTTATCAAGGGAGTTTACGTAAAAAATGCAGTTTCACCCAAATTCAATCCTGATTTTAAAAGTTTACTAAAATTCAAAGAGAATTATGAATATGTGAAGGCGTAAGCATTTTAGACATAGGGTATGTTCCGAAATACAACGCAGTGTACTGTCCAATGCAAATGACGTCATGAATCGAGGCTATACTGGTGATTCGTTCCAAAACATTGGACAGTATATGACGTCATACTTTTGTGCCATTTGGAAAAGTGTTGGCGATTATTTTGTCATTTTGTGCTCCAAAAATCATTATATCCTCCTAATGGATATACCATCAATTATTCTATAATTTTTTGTATTTGAATAAATAGAAACAAATTCTGGCATGCTTCATTCGGCAAACACACAATTAAAAATTATTTTATTATGGCCGGATATCCGACACAATATGGCGGCGGCACGCTAGTACAATAAAGTGTCAAATGATACGTCATTTGCATTGGACAGTACACTGCGTTGTATTTCGGAACATACCCATAGATTACTGACTATATACGATTACTGTGTATGTACTAGAGGAGTAGAGGATTACTGATTTTAGATAAACTATAGGGTGGTGGTGGTTAAAATTTAAAACATCGATGTGTTAACATCAATGTTGCCACATCTCAAACATCGATGTTAATGAACAAATAATCGATTAATAAGAACATGTAAACAACGCGAACCCGCAAAATCAATATCAACTAAATTTTGCATCTCCTATTAAAGGTTTAAAATGTTGGATAATTTAGAATTCCTATACGCCTTGGTCATCTAAAAAAATATCATTATCATGTATCGAACTTAACCGTCAAGTGTGTACTAAAATGTCACAGTTGTCACTTCTTTTGCTTTGTTATTGTGTGGTGTCGTTGTTGGTTGTCGCCTTATAACTATTCTACGAAAATTGATATTCAAAATAATTGTTTCTTCCCTTGCTATCTATACCCACATAATTTTGAAATAATATGTAAGTCAGTGGCGAAGCTAGAGCTCCAAACTAGGGCAAGCCCAAGATATAAATTGATAAAAATATAGATTGTTGTTTATAGCAGTTTTATAAAAATATGCCAATCTTGATCTGTCTCCACGCTTCAGTTTCATATTCAGTGCTGTCAAGGACGTATTTAACAAAGCACACGGAAGGCACACTACTGCTAGATAAATTGTAATGACATATCAACAATTGCGTAGCTTCGGTGGCTTTGAAGAAAGCCGTTTGGGTTTGTTTAAGCGAAAGAAAAAATATTTACATCCAATACAATACATGAACAAAAGTAAAACATGAACAAAGTACAAACTAATACAAAATTAAAAAAACAAATTATTTACATTCTAATGAATAAGAGGTAAGATAAGATGAGATAAGTGGAATCGTCTCGCTTTCTTAAGGAAATATTTAATTACGTCCACGTAAAATGTTGGTGAACGTTTTAATTGTACCAATAACTGTTTTTTAATTGCGATCATTGTTATGTCTGAAATACACTCTTGACCTTGTATATTATCTCAACAAAGTTTAAAGATTTACCTTTTCCTCTCCGATTAGTACTTTAACACACTTCAATTCATCACAAGGAACAATATTATCCTCCATTTTCACTAAAAATCTTAAAAAAAGGATAAATTTGGAACTCGCAATATTAAATCGTTTTGAAGTATTTTGATCAATGGGCTCTTAAGCTAAACACACAGAGTAAATAAACATTGAAATGTGAAATGAACTTGCAAACGTATTGCCCGCGCGCCTCCGCTTTTAACAAATTCATTCCTAAAGCCTGGCTTTAAATCTCTATACTAATTGCTATATATACAATCGTAGTTATATTTCATTATAGAATATTTTGCCATAGGTTAGAAAGAGAGCGATCGTCTTCTCGAAAGCCCCGTAAAAAGCCCACGCGAGCGAGGGAAACAACTAATCGCTCTATTAAAACTCATTTTTTATGACAGAAGCAGTATCGCTAGGCAATACGAGGTCATCGGTCGACATGTGTCGAACAGTGGAGTGCGCGGGAAAATTGAAATAGTTTGAAACAATTTATGAGTTATTTTATTAGTTGATATTATTGATTGATTCAGTTTTAATAAGGCAAGCCCGGCTTTTCGGCTTTTATGGAAGCTTCGCCACTGATGTATCTAAACAATCCAATTATATATAGCTGTTCTGTCGTGAGTTTGTTGAATTTTATAAACGGATGTGGATACTTACAGCTTGGGCTGCCTGATTAAAAATTATGAACAGAGGTGACGAAAAAGTCTATTATTTTGTTTTTGTGTAGTTTGTTAATTTTTTCTTTATAATCATATTTTTATTTCACGAATGGAATAGTTGATATAAAACCTACGTCTAAATCGTAAATTAGGTCTCATAGTAAATGTTTTCATACCAGATTTATGAGTGTATAGGAACATTTAAAGGTCAAAATAATAACATTCATCATTATTGGCAAAAATATAACAATGAACCATAATGAACTAGATATTTGTCAACTTCTTCCCATTTTTTTATTACTGTTCGACAGTCAAATTTTTATTAGTTTCTTTTATTTCGTTAATAATAAACCATTAAAAAATGATTTATTCAATTTTAACTTATTAAATAGGAACATGTGCAAAAAACATCGCTAATGGCCAACATCGATGTTTTGAGTAGGATAAATATCGAGCATCGATGTCAAGATATCGATACCAACACCGATGTTTCTGCAACATCTAGCATCCCTACTCTAGGGACGGCGATCGAAGATCGATTAATTGAAGAATCGATGTCTTGTGCTAAAAAGATCGATTTTAAATCAATATATAGTACTGAATCAATCCAGTGAAACGGTATTACACCCTTGAAAATCGAGATTGAATCTTTTTCTGGTTTTGTAAGAACTATAAAATTATCTATAATTAGTTGTGGGAACCCAAACTCTTAAAAAATGACAGTTTTTCTATACAAAACGCGCGAAACTGCTGTGTGCTGTTTATATCACCTCTTCTTAAAGTAAAAAAATTAAGTAACGTTTGTAATATGTACTTTGTTGTATCGATTGTATATATCATTTCTGAACGCAAAAAAAGATCGATTTTAAGAAATTGAATCGAAGAAATCGATTTAAAATCGATCTTTTTTGGAATAATAAGAACATGGAGTATAGAGGTAAGTAGGACAATCATTCATACATAGACAGAGAAATCTAGTCTACGCTCCCATAGAAGAATACATGGAGGTTAGAGAACAGGAGAACGATCGCTGTAGAAAATAGTGTCCCGGAAATATGGATAAAATAAGTGAGGCGCTGCGATCGCTAAGTTGTCTCAACAAAAGCGGGCTGTTGTGCGCTATTTTGAAATGATCAGAAATCAGAAATTTTTTATTTGCATTAAACATGGTAGTGCAAAGATGTTAACATAATGGTACGTCCTCATGTTTGACTTATAATTGTCATGCAAATTTAAAAGTAGTTACATTTAAAAGTAGTTACATTTTAGTCTACTTAGAGCTAAAAATAAGTTAATAGACTGAACGGAAAACTAATGGTAAACATGAGTCACAGACAGAACATTAAATGTCATAATTTATAAATTGTATGATATCATATGTCAAATTATTCAAGTCATAAAATAAAGTAAACACAGAAAAGCTACAAATACAGTTAAAATTTAAAAACCTCTTGGTCAACTAAGTATTCTTGGACTGAATAAAAGCACCTAGTGAAAAGCCAGGAATGTAACTTTCTTTTAAACAATGGTAACGGCAGAGCTTTGAAACTTGGATGAAGCTTATTATAAATTTTAATAGCCATACAATAACAGCTTCGTCTGTATAGTTGCAGTCTTATTCTAGGTTGCATGATCCTTTCTCGATGTCTGGTAGGTTTATTTTTGTTTTGCTCTCTAGTGACAAAATAATTAGAATGTTGTCGTACAAAAATACACATTTGTTTTATATACAGGCACGGTAGCGGTAGGATAGGTTTACAGCTTTCAAGAAAATGTACTCTGCAAATAGCCCTAATACATTTCTTTCGGGCTATGAAAGCCCGGTTTACATCCGCTGAACCTCCCCACAAAAAATATATTTGATATAATATCATTCAAAGAACATAACGAAATTATTACTATTTATTATTGTTATTTATTAATAAATAAGTTATAAATTATGTTTTTTATAATTTTAATTATTATAAATTATTACACATATAAATTATTAATTATTATTGATTTATTATTATAATAATTTTTTAATATTATTTCGCCATTTTATAATGTTTATTTTTGTCAATAATTAAAAAATTACTTCGCAGATACTAGGTACTTACCGACTTCAGCGCGGCTATAAATTCTACAAATTTTCAGGGACGGGCGGGGTATGCTTTAGCACGTAGCGATCATTCTCCTTCATGGGAGAATAGTTGAAATAGTGTCCTTCCATAAACAGTAAATAACAGTTCAAAAACTTGGCAAACTAACATTTGTCCCAGCAAATACCATCCCAACGGTGCGCACAATCCTTGGTCTGTTATTGTCTGACCTGAAGCATATCAGTCTTCCTATGAGGGCCCTAGCCTTTGTGATACGTTCTTCAATTCTTATTCTCCAGGCTGGGATAGCGCTACATTGTCCAGTAGTGCGTCCAGCCGTGGAAAGTTTGGCGCCTATAACACGGCATACTGACAGTGCGGCGCCAAAAAGAATTGAGTTCGCCTCTCAAAGGTCCCGGCTGGCTTCCAAATAGGTCACCAGCATTGGGTTTAGAACCCTCACGACAGCCCGATTCCGCTTGCTTAAGGCTATGCGGAGAAGTCGCGGTCGATTTTCGAGGCGTACTGCGTATTTCCACAATCGCCTCTTCCAATGTACTCCTCATATGCTCTAATTCCAGTTCCTGGGTGACTGTTCCATCATAATTTGAATCAACTACAACTGGGGTATTCACGGTGGCATCCACGCTTGCGGGTTCGCATCTTCAGCCATAGAATTTTCAACCCATGAGAGAATAGCCTCACGTCGTGGCCGTTCGAGTTCGGCGACATCAAATATATTTGAGCGCAAGATATACCGAAGTCGGTCTGCCAGGTTTTGCTCTGTGACGATTATAGATGGCTCCAGCTGAGCAAAAAGACGATGCATCCTAGCCCCATAGGCAAAACCTCCAACTTCTCCCCCTTTCGCCCTAAAAAACGCCCGCAATGCGTTGTATTCATTTTGATTGTCCATCATATGCGGCTTACTCCACCAGTGACGGGTGCCGATTACTGAGCCCGTGACGACCCTGCCTACACCAAGCCAGCTGGTGGGGATGATGGATGCGAGGGGCTGATGGGTGGTCGTGCAGCGCCTCGTGCTCGGCTGGCAGTTTGCACGCTGTCGCATCCAGCGCCAGCTCCAGACGCACTCTGGAAACCTCCAGGCAGCGGCCCTTTGCACTTTCTTCTGTATTCCATCATCCATATTAGCGGGCGTCATTTAACGGGAGACGCCCAGACCCGGCGCCGTTTCATGCGCACAAGCGGGCCTTTGCACCTTCAATTTTTGCCAAGGCACGGCACTAACAACTCTTAGAAAGGTGCTGACTGACTGCGCTGACGTAGCAGTTTTGTCACATAACCGTTACGACAGCGGGAGATGGGGTCGATACATCCCTACGCCTTTCTATTATTATGGGGGGTATCTATATAGTTTTTTCATCTGGTTGGGTTCTATAAATATATAATTATAAATGAAAATATAATAAAATAAAATAAATACAAAAATACATAAATAAATAAAAGCCCAACCAGATAGAAGCCCTCGGCAGGGGAGACCAAACGACCGAGGGTTAGGGGGAAAGGGAAAGAAACCGGGAGACGATGCGGGCAGTATCGAGGAGCACCACTTTGTGCATTTGAGCACGGAGCGGTCAGTCACGGGGTCCCAGTCGCCTCAGATGACCCGAGATGCTGACTGGGCTTAGCCCATTCGCAGAGACGACTACAGGAATAATTTCGGTCAACAGACCACCCCACATGTCGGTCACCTCGTAAGCCAGGTTCAGATATTTTGATTGCTTATCTGTTTCGGCTTTCACGAGGTTCTCGTCATACGGAATAGTAATATTGACCAAAATATCCTGGACTGTGCCCGATCCATCAGCACAATATCAGGCTTATTTGCAAGACTAGTCCTGTCTGTGATGATGGCCCGGTCCCAGTAGAGCCGCGGAGATGGTGCGGTCTTTTTCGAGCACGGTTTCCGGCAAGTACTTGTAATACGGCAATTTCCGGTCCACGAGATTGTATTTTAGAGCGAGCTCCTGGTGTAGAATTCTGGCTACTAGGTTGTGCCTGTGCAAGTACTCAGAGTTAGAAAGCGCCGAACAACCGGAGATGACATGCCTAAGAGACTAACCGGGATGGCGACAAGCTCGACAGACGTCGACGGTGCCATCCTTTAGGATAGTTGTTGGTCTTAATAACCTGATGAATTATCATTATTTTTATATATTTATATTTATAACTATTATTATTATTATTTTCATATTACTTCACCGTTTTTTAATGTTTCTTTTTGTCAATAATTAAAAAATTGTATCGCAGATACTACTTACCGCCGGCAACGCAGCTATAAAATATACAAATTTTCAGGGGCAGGCGGCTATGCTTTAGCTTTATACATTAGTACTCTTATTAGTTTGTGGCTTTAGCCGTAGCGATCGTTCTCCTGTTCTCTAACCTCCATGCCACAGACATATATCACAGTGATCTATGCCCCTATTACACTACACTGAATCAGGGCCCTGAATGACGGGTGGGCGTCGCCCCTAATTAGGGTCGTCAGTTGTTACACTACACTGATTTTACGCCCTTACTCAGTCATAGGGATGGTGAGTGAAAAAAGTATATGTATTTATTGAACCTATATTATTAAACAGTATCAATATATATCGCGTGATAATCGTCATGTTTTGCATGATGTAGTAGGATAAGGGCCAAAATTTTATTACTAGACGTTTTGAAGACGAAAAAATAACACGACAGTTAATAGTAAAGAAAAGAGGAGAAGAAAGATATGAGTGAAAGACTATTTAAAACTTAGGTAAAATCACTCAAATTTGCGGATTACAAACGTTTGGAGTAACTGACCTCTATTTATACAACAACCCCTATATCGAAAAACAAAATGCGGTTTTAAGACAAAGTTTAAGTGCTAGGTAAAGATTATTTATGACTAAGATTTTTAGCTTTATGTATATTAGACGCGTATTAGAGTGCGCATGCTTTGTGTTTTAAAGATCATTAGCTACTACCAAAATAATTTGTTATTAAGAATTTTATTATTGCTAACTCATTTAAGAATATTTAAACTATTAAATAGCTTTTTATCTAGATCTTAAAACCGGACTGATGATGTTTTTTAAGACTGCTATATAGCTAATTTTGTTGTTAAATATAGATACTTACTAATTGATTAAAACCAAAAAATACATAAGTATATGATACGTACTAAATATACCTTTTTATTCCAATCCTACCTACGAAGTTTAGTAATTAATGATAGTTTACCCAACCTACCAAAGAGTTACATAGAAAAACAAATTTATAAAAGTAATTGTAACGAATCATTTACTGTGTTTCATCCTGCTAACTCTAGTTTCGTAACTCGAGTTTAGTTCAATTTGTGTGAATTTCAACTCGAGTCGTAATTTTTGCGAGGACCGATCAATAGGATGCGACATCGCTCATTAAAAACATCGAAGTGTATGTATTTTTCGAGGTTTTTTATTATCATTTAAATGCATATATATATGTGACAAAGGTTACTTTTTTCCGCGGAAAATCATCTCATTTCCGTGGGAAAATAGAATATGTTGAAAAAGTTTGTCCTTCTTTCACGTCGCAACAGAGCGTCGGCATATCATGAATTTTGGTATGGGGATAGTTCGGTGGCTGTAGAGTGACATAGGCTACTCCCGTTACCGTGGGAAATATTTTATTTTACTAGGAAAACAGAATATTTCCCACGGGAACGGGAAAGAGATGTTTTTCCGCGGTTGTGAAAATTGTTATTTTAAAATTCAATTCGAAAGAAATAAACGTAAAAGTAATAAAAGACATTTAATGAATTCTTGTTTTCTGATAATTCGATAAGGTTAAATGTGTAAAAATAGTGTAAAACTTCCTAAAATAACATACAAAAAATAACATATATATATATATATATATATATATATAAATTTGTTTTTCTATGTAACTCTTTGGTGGGTTGGGTAAACTATCATTACTAATGTACCGTACGTAACGTACGGGGGTCATTGTAGAAGCGTGCTCGTTGCGACCCCTGCCAGCCCTTTACAGGGCTGCAATTCTACACACGGCCGGAGGGCGACGCACACCAGCTCGTCCCCGTTGGTGTGGAATGCAGCGCGATGGGAACCGCCACCTGTCACGCACAGCCCGACACGGCGGAAGGTGGAGGACGGAGTGCAGAGTTGGCACGTGGAATGTTAGAGGGGGCATGAGAGATAAGACGAATGAGTTGATCGAAATAATGAAAGAAAAAGAATTAGATGTCGTGTGTATGGCGGAGACCAAACGGAAAGGCAGTGGTACTGAAGATAAGGTTGTGAACTCAAGACTTCTCTGGGTACGCTTTAAACTGGGACTGACGAAGTTATTCCTTTTGGCTGTTTATGCGCCGGTAGCTTCGTCGCCCAGAGCTGAGCTGGAGGAGTTTTGGGAGAATGTAAGAGAAGTTCTAGATTTGGTTAAGGGAAACAAAAGAACTGTTGTATGTGGTGATTTGAATGGATGGGTAGGTATCGCTCGACCAGGATACGAGTCGGTGCTTGGAAAGTTCGGCGATAAAAGGGTTAATGATGCTGGCAAGCTTATACTGGCTGTATGCAAGGAAAAGGGTCTTCTTGTGACAAACACTATGTTTAATCACAGGAAAATCCATATGTACACTAGAGAAAGAAAGAATGAGAGAAGTATGATTGATTTGTTCCTGGTGGATGACCGACTGCGAAAACAGGTGATGGATACACGAGTGTTCAGGGGTGACCTGGGAACGGATCACTATCTAGTAATTACTAGATTTAGGGGTTTGTTCGCGGGTTGGCGATACCGGACGGCAGTAACAGAACCACAGTCGGTCTGTCGCATCCGAAGCTGGAAGCTTCAGGAAGCGGAAACTAAGGACAAATATCACACGAGGGTAGCCGAAAAGCTTGACACCATCGATAGCAGGAAAGAATGTGTGGAGAGAACATGGCAGAATCTTAGGGATGGAATGATAGTGCAGAAAAGTAGTGGACCAAAAAGAAAAGAGATGCATGGTGGAGTGAGAGAAGCTGTAAAAAAGAAGAAAAAAGCATGGTTAGACTACTTGGCCTCTAGTAACGATAAGCATATGAGAGAGAAGATGAAAGAAAGATATAAGTTGCAGAAAGTTCATGCGAAAACACTGATTGAGGAAGTACGTGAAAGGTGTAGAATAGAAGCGGACGTAAGGTTGTCGCACAACTTTAAGGAAAACTCCAAACTCTTCTGGAAAGAGGTTGGAAGGTCCCGGAGTGGTGCGACAGCCTTAAGAATGAACAAAGTGCTTTCTAGAACCAATGACGTCCTCTCAGAAAAATCGGACGTCATGCAGCGATGGAGTGAATTTTATAGAGAAATGTATGCGGGTCATGATCTTAGTGAAGGATCCGGGGGTGACGCCGTGACTGGCACGCCAGACACGGACCTCGATGACACTGAGGTCATTAGCATGAAAGAAATTGAACATGCGATTCAAAGTTTGAAATGTGGTAAGGCTGCGGGACTAGACAGAGTTACTGCTGAAATAGTCAATTACTGTTGGCCTCGCGTCTGGGACAGCTTTCATCTGCTGTGCAATTTGTGCTGGTGGACGGGAGGTGTCCCGGATGATTGGCGATCCGCGGTCATTGTCCCTTTATATAAAGGTAAAGGTTCACATTTTGACTGCGGGTGTTATCGGGCAGTCAGCTTGACCAGTTAAGCAAGCAAAGTTTACTTGAAGGTTTTGACACGTAGGATGCAAGAGAAATCGGAAAGATTTTTATGGGAGGCCCAATGCGGATTTAGACTTGGAAGAGGATGCACGGATCAAATGTTTTCTCTCCGTATGATCACGGAGAAGCTTCTGAGTGTTAACCAGAAGATTTTCTGTGCTTTTGTGGATGTGGAGAAAGCATTTGATAAGGTTATAAGGAAGAAAATGTGGGAACTGTTGCTGGAATATGGTGTGGATGGTCGATTGTTAAGGGCTGTGCAGTCACTTTACTATGACTGTAAAGCCTGTGTTCGGGTAGGGCATGACCTGTCACCCATGATTAGCGTCCAAGCGGGCGTAAAACAGGGTTGTGTTATGTCTTCCTGGCTGTTCATACTGTATCTCGACAGCTGTTTACAGAAGCTGAAAAATAGCTGTTTGGGTGTGAAATTGGGTGACATTAAAGTTAATTGTCTGCTGTATGCTGATGATGCAGTGCTTATTGCACCATCAGAAGCAGAACTGCAGGCATTAGTCACGTGTATGAAAGGGGAATGTGAAATTAAAGATCTCCGTTTGAATGCTAATAAAACTAAGGTTCTGGTATTTGAAAAGGACGAAGAGAGAACGAAATGTGAAATATGGGTAAATCAGGAATGTCTAGAACAGGCAAATGAAATTGTGACTTTCAGCCGGGATGGAAGATGTGATTTAGATGTGGACAGGCGTGTCGCTGCCGGGAACAAAGTCAATGGTGCCCTGAATGCGTTAGTCAAAAGGCAAGGCGTAGTGAAGAGTGCACGCCTTGCAATACATAATGCAGTGTTGGTGTCGACTTTGTTATATGGCAGCGAAACCTGGGTATGCCAGATGAAGCATAAAAGCAAGTTGAATGCAGTGGAGATACGATCTCTTCGTAAAATGTGCGGCGTTACCATAGCCGACCGAAAGCGAAACGAAGAGATTCGCAATATGGCAGGATTGAAAGATGACCTTATCACAAAAATTGATAGGGGCGTACTCTGATGGTTTGGGCACGTTGAGCGAATGAGTGAAGACCGAATGGTGAAGAAAATATATAGCGTGAAAGTAAATATTAAAAGGTGTCGAGGTAGACCGAGACTAACTTTCGAAGACCATGTGAGCAAATTACTCGAAAAGGGGAAGGTCAAGAGTACTCGGATACCTAGATGTGCATGTATGAAGAAGTTAATAAAACTGAAAGAAGCAAAAGAGGTATGTAAGGACCGTGACACTTGCCGATCTGTTCTCTCTGGCTACCCCGTTAGGGATTGTGCGTGAAGATAAGTAAGTAAGTAAGTAATTTAGTAAGTGTCATATACTTATGTATTTTTTGGTTTTAATCAATTAGTAAGTATCTATATTTAACAACAAAATTAGCTATATAGCAGTCTTAAAAAAACATCATCAGTCTAGTTTTAAGATCTAGGTAAAAAGCTATTTAATAGTTTAAATATTCTTAAATGAGTTAGCAATAATAAAATTGTTAATAACAAATTGTTTTAGTAGTAGCTAATGATCTTTAAAACACAAAGCGTGCACACTCTAATACGCGCACATAAAGCTAAAAATCTTAAAGTCACAAATAATCTTTACCTAGCACTTAAACTTTGTCTTAAAACCGCATTTTGTTTTTCGATATAGGGGTTAAACTTAATAGCTCCTCGAACTCCTCTTCCCCTATTCTCAGGTATTCGGAATTCATTTGACTCCAGACACTGACCTATATACTATACTGATATATATACAAGTACTCTGGACTGGCTATACCATACAAAATGTCTGTGCCAATTTGAAGCACTCATTACGGTCGTCTTGGAAACTAAAATTGACATAATATGCCAAAGTCTGCTGTCTTATTTAAATTGTCGTATTTAAAAAATCTGTATTTTGATCTTTAAACTAAAAAACGAAAGTATTTTATGTTGTTTGATTGTGTATAATATTAGTTACATATAAAGAACTACTTTTAATAATAATGAGAGTGTGCGTAATCTGTAAAACTCGTTTCCAAAAGGGAAGTGGTATAACATTTCACAAGTAAATGAATTTGCAGCTATTAGCTGCTTTAAACAAATTAAAACTATTTGATAATATAAATACTTAAAAATTTGTTACTAATCTTAATATCATATATACCAACATGTTTAGCTGTATATTACTGAGTTTTGATAAACAATAAAATTCAATAGGGTTGTCGAATTCCCTGTCAATAATACTTATCGATGTTCTTTCCTACCCATATCTGTTAACAAACAAAGTCGCCAACAACAGATGATTATCAAAAGTTTATTAATTAACAGGTTTCCAACTGAACCTAGACTAAGATTATGGCTTAAAAGCATAAATATTGTGAATTGGCGTCCGAAACAAAATTATTATATTTGTTCCGAACATTTCACAGACAACTGTTTTATTAGACATGAGAACTGCACCACTGAAAAAGTGCAGTATTCCGACAATATTTTCTGGTAGTACCAGTACCAGTAGGTATAAAAGTATAAAATTATTATTTCGAATGTTTTTTCATTTCTTCTTTCCTTCCTCATTTTCGCACAAACTCAAGGGCCATAGCCAAGTGTCAAAAATTCGCTAGAGGAGATTCTTCTCACTGTAACGCTGTAGTCGAGGTGAAGTCGTTAGGAAAGAGGAGTGTTGGTATGGCGATTGGCGATGCGATGCCACTCGACTATCCTTCGTGACTTTCGTGAGGCTGCACCACTTGATGCTTCCAAGTGCTTGTTTTTTTCCTGGCTCCATTCACATATCGGGCTCGGGGAGTCCGTAGTGCAGGTGGAGTCAGAGGCCGCGAAGGGCAGTGTGCCTTGTGTTTTGATGCACCTTATTTGACAAAAAAAACGGGGGGGGGGGGGCAGCAACTAAGGAGGGCCTGCCATGGGCGGCTGGCGCCGGAGGGGCTGCGGGTGTGCATGGAAGCGTTTCCGTGGCCCTGTCAATTTGCGGTGGAAGCAGAACACCATGGGGTTTTAGTAAGTGCGAGTCTAGAAATTTAATTCTCTCTCGAGTCTCAAGATTAAATTTGTGCTTTAACTTTGTAGTGGTCCTACTTTTATTTCTTATTTACAAATTCTGGTAATCGTTTATATTGACGGTTTTTGGCAGCTTCATCTTGCGCAACATCCACCGACAAAGGCAATTAAGTGTCCGATCAAGACCATAGATAAATAAATGTGTAGAAAGCTAATCAAGACACCATGGATTGCGATATGTCAAGCCACCTAGAATACGCGGCACTGCCGAAGCTCGAAGAGTGCGATGATCAGCAGTAGACAGTAGGCTTTAGTGATGATGAATGACAATGGCATTATTATATTAATATGATACATAAATAGAATGGACGTTACGGGTAGAATCCATTTATACATGGAATCCATTTTATTTGTTTAGGTATAGGTAGGGTATAGAATTTTTATCGACATATTTTATCACACTGTCTTATCCCTATTATTACTTTCGTGGACGTGCACTTCTGCTGTCAGCGCCAAAATGGCGCAAATCAAATTGCCTCATCATGTCACGGTGTATAGCCAGTCCAGCGTACTTGTATAAATAGAGGTCAGTTACTCCAGACGTATGTAATCCGCATATTTTAGTGATTTTACCTAAGTTTTAAATAGTCTTTCACCCATATCTTTCTTCTCCTCTTTTCTTTACTATTAACTGTCGTGTTATTTTTTCCTCTTCAAAACGTCTAGTAATAAAATGTTGTCCCTTACCTTACTACATCATGAAAAACATGACGATATATTGTATTTATCCCGCGATATATATATATATATATATAAAAAAAAAAAAATATATATTGATACTGTTTAATAATATAGGTTCAATAAATACATATACTTTTTTCACTCACCATCCCTATGACTGAGTAAGGGCGTAAAATCAGTGTAGTGTAACAACTGACGACCCTAATTAGGGGCCAAGCCCACCCGTCATTCAGGGCCCTGATTCAGTGCATAGATAAATAAATATGTAGCAAGCTAATTCAGTGTAGTGTAATAGGGGCATAGATCACTGTGATATACGTCTGTGGCATGGAGGTTAGAGAACAGGAGAACGATCGCTACGTGCTAAAGCCACAAACTAATAAGAGTACTAATGTATAAAGCTAAAGCATAGCCAGCCTGCCCCTGAAAATTTGTAGATTTTATAGCTGCGTTGCCGGCGGTAAGTAGTATCTGCGATACAATTTTTTAATTATTGACAAAAAGAAACATTAAAAAACGGTGAAGTAATATGAAAATAATAATAGTTATAAATATAAATATATATAAAAATAATAATAATTCATCAGGTTATTAAGACCAACAACTATCGGAGATATATCTTAAAGGGTGGCACCGTCGACGTCTGTCGAGCTTGTCGCCATCCCGGTTAGTCGCTTAGGCATGTCATTTCCAGTTGTTCGGCGCTTTCTAACTCTGAGTTCTTGCACAGGCACAACCTAGTAGCCAGAATTCTACACCAGGAGATCGCTCTAAAATACGATCTCGACCGGAAATTGCCGTATTACAAGTACTTGCCGAAAGCCGTGCTGGAAAATGACCGCGCCATCTCCGCGGCTCTACTGGGACCGGGCCATCATCACAGACAGGACTATTCTTGCAAATAAGCCTGATATTGTACTGATGGATCGGGTACAGTCCAGGATATTTTTGGTCAATATTACCATTCCGTATGACGAGAACCTCGTGAAAGCCGAAACAGATAAGCAATCAAAATATCTGGACCTGGCTCACGAGGTGACCGACATGTGGGGTGGTCTGCCGACCGAAATTATTCCTGTAGTCGTCTCTGCGAATGGGCTAAGTCCAGTTAGCCTCTCGGATCATCTGAGGCGACTGGGACCCCGTGACGGACCGCTTCGGGCTCAAGTGCAGAAAGCGGTGCTACTCGATACTGCCCGCATCGTCCTCCAGTTTCTTTCCCTTTCCCCCTAACCCTCGGCCGTTTGGTCTCCCCTGCCGAGGGCTTCCATCTGGTTGGGCTTTTATTTATTTATTTATATATTTTTGTATTTATTTTATTTTATTATATTTTCATTTATAATTATATATTTATAGAACCCAACCAGATGAAAAAACTATATAGATACCCCCCATAATAATAGAAAGGTGTAGGGATGTGACGACCCCATCGCCCGCTGTCGTAACGGTTATGTTACAAAACTGCTACGTCAGCGCAGTCAGTCAGCACCTTGCTATGAGTTGTTAGTGCCGTGCCTTGGCAAAAATTGAAGATGCAAAGGCCCGCTTGTGCACATGACTCCACCATGAAACGGCGCCGGGTCTGGGCGTCTCCCGTTAAATGACGCCCGCTAATATGGATGATGGAATACAGAAGAACGCGCAAAGGGCCGCTGTCTGGAGGTTGCCAGAGCGCGTCTGGAGCTGGCGCTGGATGCGACAGCGTGCGAACTGCCAGCCAAGCACGAGGCGCTGCACGACCACCCATCAGCCCCTCGCATCCATCATCCCCACCAGCTGGCTTGGCGTTGGCAGGATCGTCGCGGGCCCAGTAATCGGCACCCGTCACTGGTGGAGTACGCCGCATGTGATGGACAATCAAAATGAATACCAACGCATTGCGGGCGTTTTTTTAGGGCGAAAGGGGGAGAAGTTGGAGGTTTTGCCTATGGGGCTAGGATGCATCGTCTTTTTGCTCAGCTGGAGCCATCTATAATCGTCACAGAGCAAAACCTGGCAGACCGACTTCGGTATATCTTGCGCTCAAATATATTTGATGTCGCCGAACTCGAACGGCCACGACGTGAGGCTGTTCTCTCATGGGTTGAAAATGCTACGGCTGAAGATGCGAACCCGCAAACGTGGATGCCGCCGTGAATACCCCAGTTGTAGTTGATTCAAACTATGATGGAAAAGTCGCCCAGGAACTGGAATTAGAGCATATGAGGAGTACATTGGAAGATTCGATTGTGGAAATACGCAGTACACCTCTTGAAAATCAACCGCGACTTCTCCGCATAGCCTTCAGCAAGCGGAATCGGGCTATCGTGAGGGTTCTTGTTGTGGCCGTAGCTTCCTCGGGTATAGCCGCCACGCTACTAAGCGGGGGCCGCACTGCACATTCTGTTTTAAAACTCCCTCTAAATCTAGCCCAGGAAGAATCGCCGATCTGCAACTTTAACAAAAATAGTGCACGAGGTATAATGCTACGACAATGCAAACTTTTAGTGTGGGATGAAAGTACAATGTCGCATAAAAAAGCTGTAGAAGCACTAAATCGAACGCTCCAGGATTTGCGCAGCAATACCGATGTAATGGGAGGAATGGTGGTTTTACTGGCTGGTGACTTTCGCCAAACTTTACTTGTAATTCAAAAGGGCACACCTGCAGATGAAATTAAAGCATGCCTCAAGTCGTCTATTTTATGGAACAAGGTGACAAAATTCAGTTTAACTACGAATATGAGAGTGCATTTGTATAATGATATCAATGCTGGAAACTATGCTGACACCCTATTAAAAATTGGCGATGGGCGGTTGGAAACGGATGCTGAGGGCTGCGTTAAATTGACGAGAGATTTTTGTAATTTAGTACAGAGTCATACCGAATTAATTGCGAGCGTTTATTCAGATTTAACGAACAACATGCGTGAAGACAAATGGTTATGTGAAAGGGCGATTCTTGAACAAAAAATGAGAGCGTTAACAAAATAAATTCAGATAATTATATTAAGCGAAGTAGCAGGAGAAATAACAGAGTATTTGTCAGTAGACACAGTTATGGACACAGAACAGAGCACTTCATATCACGCAGAGTTTCTAAATTCTCTAGAGTTGTCAGGTGTGCCCTCACATAAGCTTCAATTAAAATTAGGCGTCTCAGTCATGCTAATGCGAAATTTAGATGCTCCTCGGTTATGTAACGGGACAAGGCTGCGTGTGACGCATCTTGGACGGAACATAATCGGTGCTACAATTTTGACAGGCGTAGGAAAAGGCGAAAATTTTATTATACCACGGATCCCTATAATTCCCACAGATCTTCATTTTCAATTCAAAAGATTGCAGTTCCCTATTAAGCTCCGTTTTGCAATGACAATTAATAAAGCGCAAGGGCAAACGTTACATGTAGCGGGGGTCAACTTAGAAAAACCGTGCTTCTCTCATGGTCAGCTGTATGTAGCATGTTCGCGTGTGTCAAATGCCCAGAATCTCCACGTTCTTTCTCCGAATGGAAAAACATATAACATTGTGTACGGTAGCGTCTTAAAATAGTGTTCAGTTAGTTTTTTTCCAAAATTCCCACAATCAATCAGAATTCCCACAGATCTTCCCTTTCAATTCAAAATTTCCTATTTAGCTCAGTTTCTTTTCAATTCCAAATGCTGCACCTCTGACGGACCTATTAAGCTTAGTTTCCTTTCAACTCAAAAGGCTGCATCTCTGACGGATCTTTTATTTGGCTCAGTTTCCTTTCAATTCAGAAAACTGCATCTCTGACGAATCAATTTAGCTCAGTTTCTTTACAAAAGTCTGCATCCCTGACGGATAATTATGCTCAGTTTCCTTTAATTAAAAAAATATCCCATTTCCATTTGGAATAAACAGGCTATTTTCATGCTTTCCTATACGCTGCGTTTCAAAACATTTAAATAGGCTCAATTTTGCTGTTTCCTTTTAATGGTTGCATCTCTGACAAATCTATAAAACTCAGTTTTCTTTCAATTCAAAAAGCAATGGATAGTTCATTTCCCAGTGACCATGCGGGCGAAGCCGCGGGTAACAGCTAGTAGTCAATAAAATTAAAACTAAACCCAAGCATACCACTGCAAGACCTCAGGACATAATCAGTTCATTTTGCATAGATCGAACAATAAGCAATAATTAAAAAAGCTGAAGGTACTCCGGGTTTAACAATGACATCGGGACGTCAGTCACCTCAGTCCCACGTGACCATGGGTGCTGCAAAGCACCCGAAACGTCGGGAATTAAAAATAAAAGTAATTAAAAGTAAAATTAAACGCGATAAAATCCGTAAAAGTAGTTTTAATCGATATATCGATGTTTGAAAGAATTGATGTATCGTTTGCATTCCTAGTTACGCATCGAAGAAGTGCCCTAACTGCTCTATAAGTGTTATTAGAGCTAAAGTTGTCAAAAACGACTATAAATCAATAGCTACACTATAAACAATACTATAAAACAATTTAGACTATAAACAATACGCAATTTCCAGCGCGCTATCCTATACCTTTAAACGAGCAATGCTTATATATATATATATATATATATATATATATATATATATATATATATATATATATATATATAATCGGAATCTCGGAAACGGCTCCAACGATTTTCATAAAATTTTGTGTCCAGAGAGTTTCCGGGGGCAATAAATCGATCTAGCTAGGATTTATTTTTAGAAAATGTCCCTTTGTCCGTGTTTTCAAACAATAAAAAACTGCTACAATGTAAGAAGGTAAATTTTGACAGATTGCTAACGATCGTAATAGCTCAGATGGGATGTTGTTCGGGCGTAATATCGGTGTTCCGTGGTTCGCGTCCCGTCTTGAGTCCGACTTTTTTTCCCTTCTTTGAAGTTCCCTTCTTTTGTGAGAAAATCTATTATTTCGAGCCCTTTTTGTAGTATATTTTAAAAATACGAAAATTTTAATTAATCTAATTGCACTCATGATTTTTTATTCAAATAACCAGTTCAGTTTTTTCTATTATGTCAATAAGATCAAAAACTATAATTCATGTAATTTGTATATAAATGTAACTTAAAAAACCGAGCAAAGCTCGGTCATCCGGTTACTAGTTTATAAAAAAGCGTGTAGGAGGTCGGCAAGCGCGTTAAGTTTTGCAGCACGCTATATCTCGTAGCACGTTACCATACATGTCGTTCATTGAATAGATCATTGGATAGATAGACCGCGTGCTATATAAGAACATTATTATCGTAATGAGTCGCAATTTAGACTAAAATAAAATAAAGCGGCGAAGAAAAACCAATGAACGCTTTCTCATACTTTTCAGGCTTACGACTTTCTATAATCCTAAAAATATTTTTAAGGTATGTACTTTTTAAAACGAAATAAAATTAATTATTTTTTATTATAATTGATGTAAACGTTATTTTAACCTTAATATAAATTATAAATCAAATAAAGGTGTATTTAAAAGTTTATTGATTGTATTTATAAAAAATCAACTATTTACATAGACTATTATATACACTTTTGTATGTAAATTTTATTTACATTTTAAAACATTAGTTAGTCTTCTTTTATAGCAGACAACTGTGTCCTTCGATCTCTTATAAATATACAGTATACACTAACTAAACAACGTCTAACACTAAGTTCGCGCGCGATGAATAGCGTGCCGAAAAACGGACAATGACCTTTCGATCGTTTCAGGGGTTACAAACCTTCAATATATAGGCACATTTTATATGTAGTACTTTCTTTATTTATAAGGATTTTTTTATAATCATTGATATAATATATATTAATTAACTATTATTAAAAAGTTATGTAAAAGATCGTCGTAGAAGAAAAATCATCTATTGTTATAGAGTAATTTATTCATTTAACAACAAAAAGCATATATTTACACATAAAGATTCGAGTGATAACGACACCGAATAAGTTATTTTTTTAAATTTATTTACCATATCACAAAGCATTACAAGAAAAAAGCTATGCTTAAAAGTCGCATACAAAAAATCACTAAGGTTTGTGCTGAGGCGACCTGAGTCGACATTAAATTAAAGTATAATTAATAATTAATTACGTTTGTAAGAAAAGAAAAAGAGAAAGCATTTACAGCCTAATAGGACCTGAGCAAACGCATAAACGCTGTTTTAAGCAGTACCATTATAAGTTATCAAAAAGTACAATTTAAGTTTTTTTTAATGTTTTTTATATTTAATTTGTCGCGGAATCCTGGGGGTAGGTTGTTTATAAGTCTTGGAACAATGTAACCTGCCGTTCATTCTCCGTACATGTTGTTTGCACGGCTCGTCTGCAACTTGCGGCTGCTTACGGCGCGCGTACATACGGGTGCTTGATTTCTAATATTAAGTCTTCATTAAAAAAGTGTTTTTTTAGTAGTAAATATTTGATTTGCGTATGAACTGGTAATATATTACAGTGCTTGAAGAGCATACTATCTTCATTATGAAATTGACGTCGAATTTTGTCTGTTACAATGTTTTTAAGGATTCTTAACTGGAGGTTATATATTTTGTTTAAATAAGTATTATATGTACGACCATAGCTACCTAAACCATACTGTAACGATTCTGCTAGAGAGTTACATAATATCATCTTAACTGGGAACGGAATTCTGTTCTTCAGTATTATAATATTAGCTAATAATTTTTTTTTTCAATTTATTGGGTAAACATACAACATGACAATAACAAATGGTTATAATAGTGTTAACCTATACATTATTGACAATTGTGACATCCACACCGTTTACCACGAGCATTATGAACAAATTGTTTTTACAGGTTGAGAGTTTTATTCATCTGTACATTTTTCACTGTTGTGTGTAGTATACAGTGTCATGC